CATTCCAATTGATAGGAGTGTAAAATTGGCCCGCGGCTCGGGCGGGCCCGGGCATTACATTGATAGGAGTGTTAAAATTGGCGCGCGGCCGAGGGCGGACCCGGGCCGGCCCGTTCATTAATGTGAATATTCACATTGACATATTAACATTCACATTGATAGAAGTGTAAAATTAGGTCTGCGGCCTGTGGCCGGCCCAAAACCCGCCCGCGGCTCGTGGCTGTCCTAGGCGGGCCCGGCCCGACCCGTTGATAATGTGAATATTCACATTGACATATTTACATTTACATTGATAAGATATAAAATTAGCCCGCGCCCCGTGGCCTGCCCGAAACCAGCCATGCCCGTGGGTGCCAGGGGCGGGCCCGGTCCAGCCTGTTGACAATGTGAATATTCACATTGACATGTTAACATTAAAATTGATAAGAGTGTAAATTGACTCGCGTCCCATGAGCGCTCGAAGCCCGTGGGCGGCTGGGTGAGCCCGGCCCGGCTGTGACAATGTGAATATTCACATTGATAGGAGTGTAAATTGGTCCGTGGCCGTGGGGTGGCCCGAAGCTCGTCCGCTGCCCAGGGCGGACCCGGCCCGGCCCGTTGACAATGTGAATATTCACATTGACATATTAACATTAACATTGATAACAGTTGTAAAATTGGCCCGTGACCCGTGGGCAGCCCGAAGCCCGGCCCAGGCCGGGGCTGGCCCGGCCCGTTGACAACGTGAATATTCATATTGACATGTTAACATTCACATTGATAAGAGTAATAACATTAACCCGTGCCCCGTGGCTGCCCGAACCCGTCCACGCCCCCGTGGGCGGCCCGAGGCGGGCTTGGCCCGGCCTGTTGACAATGTGAATATTCACATTGACATGTTAACATTCACATTGATAAGAGTGTAAAATTGACTCGCGTCGCATTGGCGGCCCGGGTTTGGGTCCGGGCCTACCCGCGGGCCACGAGCGAACTTCGGGCAGCCGAAAAATTTACACTCCTATCAATGTTAATGTTAACATGTCAATGTGAATATTCACATTGTCACGGGTCGGGCCAAGCCGCCTCGGGCTGCGATCTGGCTTCGGGTCGCCCACGGGCTGCGGGCCAATTTTACACTCCTATGCAAT